CAGTAAGGTACGAACACCGGTAACTCACGTGGGGGGTAGGCCACGTCCCCTCCCTGCATCAGAAATGCCTCTTCTTTCCCTGCTGCATGTTCCTGCCATTTTTCCTTGTGTCGGACGCAAATCCCTGCAGCTCTGTTCCAGAACTCGGCATTCTTGGTGCAGTGATTCTGAGTGAGGTACTTTCTTCTGTGGTACTTTCTCCCCTCTCCGCTTCTCTGGAACTTGGAGCTGTTCACCCCTTTGTTACATTTGTTCATTCATTTGTTGAAAAGAATACTCTGGAGCTGGCATATTGCAGGTGCCGTGTTGGGCACCAGGCCCCAGCGTGGAGGGGGCCATCCTGCCTCGCAGGGGGTCTTGGCTAACATGTGTCTGACTCAGTTGTGTGAGGTCTCTCCTTCGCCTCGCTGCAATACGCTCCACGAGGACACAGACCATGTCTTGTTGCAAGGATCCAGCTTTGACATTTCAGCACACGGCAGGCAGCACATTCTTGGTGACCGTGGGCTGAGTTTGGAGGTGGATGCTGATGATTTTAAAGTTTCTCCTTTCCAAGCTGTAAGATGAGGTAACTGCCTTCCTTTTCAGGAGGGTGCAGTTAACATAAAACGTGATCATGTCTGTTTACCCCTTAGAAAGGCAGGTAATATCTCAGGGGAAGTTATCACCCACCTTCATTTCCTGCTCTGCCTATTTCTGTTCCCATCGTCTCTGAGCTCGTCTGTACCACTGGTGTCTGCCCTCTCTGCCTGCCCTGCTTTCTCCTTCCTTCCTTAGAGGTGGGGGGAGCATGACTAAAAATCTTCTGTGTGTCGGGGCGCTTGGGTGGCTCAGTGGGTTAAGCGTCTGCCTTCAGTTCAGATCATGATCCCAGGGTCCTGGGTTCCAGCCCTGCCTTGGGCTCCCTGCTCAGTGGGGAGTCTGCTTCTCCCTCTGACCCTTCCCCCACCCACGTGCATGAGCATGCTCTCTCTCTCTCAAATAAAATCTTAAAAAAAAAAAAAAGAAAATGCCACTGTCACTCTCAGCATGTCCCTCTTTCAACATGTGTGCATGTACGGGGACGGACCGTCTCCACATGGAGAACTTGACTGCACACTTGGCAGGAACACCCGCTCTGTGTGTGTGCATGAGCTCTCTGTCACTTCTGGTCCTCCTGCACATGTGTTCTTCCTGAGTCATAAGCATCTCTGATCGTAAGAAAAGAGTTTTCTTAGATTAAAGCCAGTATTCTAGCCCCTGCTGCACTGTGTGGGTCCAGGTGACTGATAAAACAACAGGATTTGCACACCAAGGCATTCTGCCCTCTGTAATACCTGGTTGACAATGCCATAGAATCAGTGCAGAGATGAAGTTTTTGGAGAGAGACACAGCGTGGCCGGTTTGGGAGGGTAAGGGATGAAACAGAGTCCTGAACAGCAGGAAGTGCTGAGCGTCTTTGCTTATGTCAACATCTTTTTTCCCCCTTGCCCGTTCACCATTACAAAAACAAAAGACATTGGGAGAATCTCATATCAGGTGAATGGCAGGGAGAAGCTTCTAGTAACATATTGTGGCAGAATCCGGTCTTCTTTTGGAAGGGGCTTAATGTACAGTAAGCTAAGTCTCCCCTGAAAAGCAGTAACATTAACCTTTGTGGGCCTGAAGTTTTGTTTTTTGACTAACCTTAAATTGGAGGCTCTTCTCTAGGTAGCAAAGTCTTCTGTGTGCACAGCCTAATAAAGACATTATTTGCTGAGTTTTCGTCATTGTGATGGAAACAAAATGGGGAGCTGCCTTCTGAGATGTGCTGAAACTCTTCAGAAGGTGGGAGGTGCTGGAGGGTCACGCTCAGTTTACTGGAGGTCAGGTTACTGGTGGTCAGATTCAGGGAGCAGCTCACTCCTCCCTGGGAAGCCTGGTACTTCCTGTGTCCCCCTTTCACAGATCCTTCCTACCCTAGAGCCTTAAGCCATTTCACCCCACTTCTGGGCGTCATTGTATATTCAGACTCATCACTGTGTAACTAAGTGGAGAGAAAATTGGTCCTAAATTAATGGAATTGCAGAGAGAACCCTGTTGGATTAGCTGACAAGCTGCCAGGTGAAAGAGAAGGAAAAACCCCGGTCTAGCGCAGGTCTCGTGCTCAGTCTGGTTCTCCCTGAGCTGAAGAGTTGGTCAGGGGAGGTGGAGCAGGGGGCCATGTGTGTTTATTCAGTCAGCCTGCACTGACTGAGTGCCTGGTGATGGGGCGGGCCCATGTAACCTCCCCACAGCGTCCTCATCCTAGAAGGGGAGATGGCCCATGTGGAGGAAAGAACGGGATTGCTCAAAGCCACAGGAGAGATTTGAGGAGGAAGGTGGCACTAAATCCTAACTACATTCTGGTTTGGCCAAGGAAGAAAGGGTTCGGCCTGTTTCTTACAGAGGTGAACCTTGAACCGGCTCTTTAAAGAGGGGGTGTTAACCAGGTGGACAAAGGGTAGGGGTAGGGGCCAAGGAATGCCTACAGGTATCCTCCAAAAAAAGTCATTTCAGCAGGTCTTTGCAAAAACAAGAATCCTCATTTTGAGACTCTCTTAGCATAGCAAATATGGGGGGGGGCCGGGGGGGGTCTGTGTCTGTTTTTGTAAATAAAGTTTTATTGGAACACAGCCACACCTATTCATTCCCCTATTAAATGGGGTTGCTTTCCTGCTACAACCCAGAGTGGCATAGCTGGGGCAGACACAGTGTGGCCTGCCAAGCCTCAAATATTTACTATCTGTTCCTTCACATAAAAGGTTTGCCAACCCTTGGCATAACGGATTATTGTTCCTTGAAAGTCTTTATGAAAAGGACCCACACTGTCAGTGACCAGACTTTGATGGCAGGACTTCATGGACTTACTGGTTTATTTTACCAGCCAGTGATTTCTCTTCAATCCTCTCTACTGCACCTCCAACTCTGTAGTCTCTAGTTTCCATAATTTCTGGCTCTGAATGTCTGGAACTGTAATAGTGCTTAGAGTGTGCAGAGGAAGGGGGGCATTTCTCCCTAAGCATCCCCTTAAATGTCCCGTTACCCTGACCCCCAGCTGTTTCAGACTCTGCTTACTTTCTTGGAACCTCTGCTGCTTATTTGCTTGGTAAATGTTGCCAAGCAAAATCCGAAACAAAAATAGGATCAGCAGCCATTGAAAAGCATCTCTGTTCTTTGGGGAGGCATCTGTTAGTGGGTTCTGGAGCTCGCTGGCCCGCTTACAAGTGAGAGAGAAGGGGGTTGCTGTAGGGAGATCTACTACCTCAAGCCTGCATTCATTTCAAAACCACGGAGAATGCGTTTCCAAAAGATCTGTGCTTTTGAAATACTGCTTTCCTAGATACAGTGAGTGTAAGTTGTGGGGAACTATATAGCAAATGCCAACTTTTTAAGCACCTACTGTTGTCTGTGGTGAGAGTCCGCTGTTGGGAGTGCCACACTAGCCTTTTTACAAATATTAACTTATTGAGTAAAAGCTGGATGAAACAGAGATGCACTTATTTCAGTTTTACAAGATGGAGAAACAGGGGCTCTGACAAGCTAAGTATCTTCCATGTTAACTACTAAATGACACCGCCTGCAATCCTTGATGAGGATATTGATTTTATGCTCTAGTTATGTGAGTAGCTGGTGGAATGTTCCTGAAAACGCTGAATCAAGAGATGAAGAACCTCTCTGTTTAAGACTGTCAAAAGAACTAATTTTCAAGGACAGGTACAGCTTTTGTTTTAGCCCCAGCAGCTACCAACCTCGTTTAAATACCACTGTCAAATGATACTGTAGTTTGGGATCTAATTTCTCATTAGCACTTTGTATAGAAAACTGTTGGCAGTAAGTAATGGTGACATTTTCCAAGCAGTCTGGAAAATATCGTTGGTCCCCGAAGAGAAGCGTGTAGGTTTAGAGTTGTCCCAGTTTCCAGCTGAAATGATGATTCCTAAACATCAGTCTGATCTTAACCGTTCCCTTCTTAAAAGCATTCAGTGCTCTGCCGTGCCCTTAGCTTAAAGATTAAAGTCTTTTACTAGGGCGCTTGCCAGAGGCCTTTCTGATTTGGGCCCTGCCCAAGCTCCTGTCTGACCACTCAGTACTTCCCACTTTGGCATTCCCCTCGGAGCGTGTCCCTGCTTTTGGAGCCTCCCCAGTTCCTCAGACACCATCTCTAGCTGGCCCCTTCCCCTGATGCACTCCTGCTTCTTAGCTGAGATGTCACTAGATCCAGGAAGCCTTCTTTGAGCCTGGAGACTGGTGTGCGTGCCCTGCCCTTGGTCCGCTCTAACATGATGTCTGTTACACTGCTGTCCAGTGGTTTACATATTTGTCCGTTGTCTACCACTAAACAGTAAGCTTTTTAGTTTCTTTTTAGTTTTGACTCTGTCGTCAAAAGGAATCAGAATCCACTTGAGCTAACTAATAGAAGGGGAGTTGATCCGTGAGGAAATACCTGAAGCAGTAAGGAAATCTCTGCAGAAATTTAAGGACCAGGTCCATAAGGAGCTCTTCCTCGCAGATGTGTCTGGTGGCTTTCTCCTTCTCTGCACACCGGTTCTTTTTGCCTGTCTTTAGCCAGCTGCTCAGTTCAAGCACATGTCCTGAAGCTGCTCCTGACCTCAGTCTGTCTGCGTAGCCTAGCATGGTCCTACCAGCCCTGCTGGTCCTTCCTAATCTCATGGCTCCATTGCCTGGTCTCCATTTGTTTGGATTCTGTTGCCCAATTGCAGATTTCCCAGCAAGCACTGTGGCTGGTGTAGCTCATCCTTTCAGGCGAGGCCACATGCCTCATTGGTCTCTGGCCATTCCGCAGGTGGGCCGTCCTTGGGTCGGGTCCTCGCTGCAGACCAACTGGACCTGCGGCCCGCTGGAGGGGTTCCACCGGTCAGAGCATGGCTCCCAGTATAGACTTCCTTTTTCTGTTTCTTTCCCTGCCCCTTGCTTACAAGGGTGTTAGGTTTGTGTTTCATGAACTTTATGGTATCCTTTGTTCTCTTTCATCTTTACAGATATCATTAATGGAGCTCAAGAAAAATGTGTATTGCCTCCTATGGATGGCTACCCCCACTGTGAGGGGAAAATCAAGGTAAGGCAGAAGTAACTTCTGTTCATTCCCATCATCTTCAGTCTGCACCGATACCCTCTTCCTTCCCCTCCCCTGTCTGTAATCCCCCAGTAACACAGATGGCAAGCAAGCCCTTTAAGGGAGTCATTTCAGGGGTGCCTCAATCCTACCAGTTTGCGGCTGTGGCCATGACAACCCTTGTCTGCTTATGCCAACTCCATGGGGTTAGTCAACAATGGCTCTAACTGGTCAGATTGAAGGAGCGTGGGCCACTTCGGGAGCCTGCTGTGTCTTTGAAGCTGCCTTCCCCTGGCGTTCCCAGCCTCCAGCAGGTGATCCTTCAAGGGCCATTGACAGGGGGCTGCCATTATGTAGGGTCCAGCTTCCCTCTCCCCCAGTCCCCAGGCCCCTGCCATGAGGTCTCCAGATTGTGATTTAAATGTCACATTAGCATTTGCAGCTGAGTAACCAGAGACCCTTGAGACACTCTTTCACTCTGAACATTTTTTTTAAAAAATCCTTTTCGTATGGCCTGCTGGTATGCAGGAGACCACTCCCCTGCTTACCAGTTTTCAGAGGAAAAGTCTTGGTTCCGATGTTTGCTTAGGATGGTGAGACCAAACCCCAGAAGCATTTGCATGGTTCCTGTTTGGGACTCTTGCATGCCTTATACACACCTTGCACGCCTGCATTCATGCTCTCTTGTTCCAGGCCTGGTACTGGAGCTTGTGAAACTGTAGCTCTCTGGGGAGAACTGTAGCTCTCTTGGTTTTGAAGCAAGGGTCCCCTTAGGCAGTTGTTCTTGATGAAAGTACCCTGGCCACTGCCTGTCCTGGGCTTTACTGCCCTGTATGTCTCGCAACCCTCCGTACCCTGAGCACCTCTGCTTAAGGCCCAGCTCAAGCCAGTGTCTCCCTGTGGATCATCTAGGAACTGGGCATCGGTTGTCCTGACCTCAGCTCAGTGACTCTGAGCCCCAGTCTGAGCCACTCACTGCTCCTTGCCCTTCATACCCTTGGCTTCTCTGTCAGCGGATGTGCGGGGCCACCGGTAACGGGCTGCTCATCGATGTCCTTACCTGGCTCTTGTCATTTCAGTGGATGAAAGATATGTGGCGCTCGGATCCCTGCTACGCAGAATACGGAGTGGATGGGTCCACCTGCTCTTTTTTTATTTACCTCAGTGAGGTGAGTCACTTCTCTGGCTCTGGGGTGTGGAAAGGTGTGCTTAGTCAGTTTTGCAGCTGAGCCTGGAATTCGAAAAGTCGAGAAATGTGCACTGTTTTTACTTGGTGGACCTATGCCTCCCTTCTTCCTTATTTTCCCCTGCTCCTAACTAGGATGATTTCTTTTTCCTTGAGGGGAAAAAACAAGCTGATGTAGCTGTTTATATTTTCTTCCCCCGATGGGAAAAAAAAAAAAAAAGTCTAGTAAAATACATGTAACATAAAATTTTCCATCTTTACCATTTAGTGGGAATTAAGTACATTCACGGTGATACACAGCCATCACCAGCATCCATCTCCTGAACAATGCATCTTGCAAACCTGAAACTCTACCCGTTGAACAGTGACTCCCCATTCCTCCCTTCCTCCAGCCCCTGAACACAACCATTCTAATTTGTCTCACTGATTTGGACTACTCTCACTACTCCTGTAATTTACACAGCATTTTCCTGTTTGTGACTGCCTTATTTCAGTTAACGTGACGTACTCAAGATTCATCCATGTTTATAGCATATCAGAATTTCCTTCCCTTTCAAGGCTGAGTAGTATTCCATTGTGTTGTACCGCCTTTTGCTTATCCATTTATCCGTGGATGGATACGTGGGTTACTTCCACCTTGTAACTATTGTGAATAATGCTGCTGTGAACATGGGTGTGCACACAACTCTTTGAGACTCTGCTTTTAGTTCCTTTGGGTGTATATCCAGAAGTGGAATGGCTGAATCATATGGTAATTCTGTTCCTTTTTTTTTTGAGGAACCACCAAACTTCTCCAAAGCGATGGCTCCATTTTACCTTCCTACCAACAATGCATGAGGGTTCTAAGTTTCTCCACATCCTTGTCAATCAACACTTGTTTTCTGTTTTGTCATGTAGCTATGCTAACGGGTGTGCAATGGTATCTGACTGTGGTTTGGTTTGCATTTTCATAATGATCAGTGATGTCGAGCATCTTTTTCATGTGCTTATTGGCTGAGTTAGCTATTTCTTACAAGCTGAGTTACTTACTTTTACCTTTTTTTTTTTTTAAATCTTTTTAGCTGAGCCTTATTTTCGTTTCTACCCTTAAATTCAAATAGCAGTTTTTTTTTTTAAGGGTTGCAGGACATTTTATGGGCCACATGGAATTTACATGTTGCATGCTTCAATGATTTCAGTTTCACCTTGAGGAAAATGGAGGAGGTGGGGCAGAGTTAAGACTGTTTGGGGCAAGAACAGGGGAAGAACTGAGTAGGGAATCAAAAGCCGGCTTCCCCTCCACCCTTGATGGACAAAGGCAGCCCTAGTCCCTTGTGAAATGGGTGCTGGCTAATTTCAGAGGGTATACACTGGGATGTGCTATTGCTGTTTGACCAGTAGTTAATACCAGCTCCCTGGTGCCACCACGCAGGAAAGAGAATGCTTCCATTTTGAGGCTAATGATGTACTTCTGCCGTAATTTTCCGCATGAGACTCAGGCACCTCTCCTCTCTGTCACAGGGGGACAGGGGACAGCTTTTGGGGATGGAGGCCAAACCAGTACTGCCACAGGGCATGTGGCCTTAAATTCTGTGGGGTTTGTCCCTTTCCTTTACCTTTATGTCTCTTTCCCTTTTGAGAGCCACTCAGACTTTTTTTGTTTTATATGGTTGCCCCAGGGCCACCCCATGGCCATCATGAAGAGGCCTCAGAGCTAATGATAGTTAAATTATCTCTTGGAAATTAAAAGCACAGTGAGTTGGGTGTGTGATGCTCCTCATTAGCAGGCTGCTGGCAAATTAATTCTGTCTCATTTATTTGAGTGTTTTTTTGGCTGGGGTAGCCTGTGGCCCACCTTCTCATTTCTTTCTACAGAGGAGTAAGGCCTGGGGCTCTGGGTGAACCTGCGTTCCAATGAGAAGTCAATTAGAAGCACCTTCCCCGCCCCAAGGAAAAGGTTCCTCCTTCAGTTTAATTTTCCAAAAGTTTCCTTCCCCTTTCCATTTGATAGAATTTAGCCAGAGTCCAGCTGTGCTCCCTGATTGACAGACTGGGCTAATTTCACGCCTTCCTAAGACTCTTCATGTTGGGCGTACTGCTGAGGTACAGCTAGAGAATTGCAACCCACTCCAGCCTTCCCTCCGTCTCCCGAGCCAGAGCCGGGAAGGTGTGGGAGAACGGTGCAGATGGGAAGGGGCTGCGATTATCTGTGACCTAGTTCCCTTCCTGTGAAGCTGCCGCCCAGCCCCACGCGCAGTGGAGGAAGGATGTGGCTAAGATGAAAACAGGGAGCCTCTAGTGAGTGCGGGGCAGATGGGGCTGTGGAAGGGTGTGATGGATCACGTGCTCTTAACACTGGGGCCGGCGTGTCTCACTTCAGAACCCGTAACTATTTTTCCTCTCTCCAAGTGTGGAATGGTGCTTTCTTTGCCTTTTCCTCTCTCTCCTCATGCAGAGGATCGGGCTTTTCTTTCTGTTCAGCTGAATTCAGTTCAGTGATCACTTATCGAAAGTCTATCATATTCATAGGATGTCAACAATTGGTAAGAACTCCCATTTTTTGGCACTACGATACGCACTCAGGATGAACCTAATGGAAGAAGAATGGTTGCAGGTAGTGGAGCCAGAACAGGGTGGAGCGAGTTTCCCTGCAGACAGAACTAGGAACTTCTTTTTAATTCAAATCTGAAAATAACCTCGAAACTCTGGCCTTTAAAAAAAAAAAAAATGCATTTTGAGGCGCCTGGGTGGCTCGTCAGTTGAGCGGCTGCCTTTGGCTTGGGTCATGATCCCAGGGTCCTGGGATCAAGCCCCGCATTGGGCTCCCTGCTCAGCAGGGAGTCTGCTTCTCCTTCTTCCTCTGCTTCTCCCCCTGCTTGTGCTGTCTGAAATAAATAAATAAAATATTTTCAAAAATTGCATTTTATCGTATCATCTTAATAGGTACCCTGTAAGAGTTGGAGGAGACTCTCACCACTGTGGTCTCTTGGACGAGAACTACTGCCTTAGAGCCTCATCCCCGAGGTCACACTGTTTTTGATGCTTTCTAAACACTATACTTCTGGACAAGTTACTTACCCTCTTTGTACCTCATGTTCTTCCTTTATAAAATAGTGTTTTTAACTTTGTTTTTTATCTTTTTTTATTTTTTAAAGATTTTATCTATTTATTTGACAGAGAGAGCCAGAGAGCACAAGCAGAGGGAATGGTAGAGGGAGAGGGAGAAGCAGGCTCTGCACTGAGCAGGGAGCCCGATGCGGGGCTCGATCCCAGGACCCTGGGCTCATGACCTGAGCCGAAGGCAGACGCTTAACCATCTGAGCCACCCAGGTGCCCCAACTTTGTTTTTTAAAGGATTCTGCTGTGATGATTCCTGAGTCTATGGGAACGTGCATAGAATAGAGCCGGGCAGATAGATGACACTCAATAAACCCAATTGAGGCCTTTATGGTTTTTGATGATGTCATTACTTGCGGACCGTTAGGGGGCGTTTTTATGTGGGAACTTGGTTTTGTTTTACAATTAGAACCAATTTCTGGTTCTAACTCTAATTTAATTTTAGATCCTTTGATTTCTGGTGATGTAGAAATGCAGCTGTTACCCTTAACTTATTTTTTCTGCATATCATGCTCGTGTTTGCATTGGAACTTGGAGCTGGCTGTCTGGAGCAGCAGTGTGCCCCTTGCCACCATTAATTTGAAATGACCAGAGGTGGTTTTTAAAGCCAATTAATTCTGTACTAGAATTTTTTTTTAATCCTGGATAGCATCTGTGTCTCTATAGTGCTGTTTTTGGTCTAGGTTTTTGTTTTGCTTTGTTTTCCCTCTTGCTTTTCCTTGAAACCTTCCTCCTTTTGATACTTGATTTAAACTGCGTATCCTACGCCAGGTTTGTCTTGCCACTGGGAAAACAATGAAGAGAGACCTCTTCATTTGATTTGTTTACTTGATCAACAGACGTACCAGTCACTTTTATTCTTCTCTAAATCTTCATCGAAGAGCCAGTTCTGGTTTCCATTTAAGTTTAACCTCAGGACTTTGACAGAAACGAACAAACAAGCAAAAAAAGCCACAAAGTAACTATGGTCACCAGTGGAATCCAGGCACTGAGATTTAGCCCAGTCCTGGGGGATGGCCCTCAGCTTTCATTTTTCTTTCCTTCAGTTGTTCTCAGTGTGCCAACTTCCACTGCATTACAGGGCTATGGACTTGTGCTTGTACCCTCACCAACTCGATATTCTACACGTCTTTCTTGGTAAAACCCAGATAGAGCAGCCTGCAGTATTTCCCCTTATGTTATACCTGAGGATGCTTGCAATGTGTCTGATGCTGGATCCAGGACTGCATATGGTGTGAGTCCAGGCATTGCCCTTGTTGGGTGGAAGACAGTAAGAGAAAAATGACACAGTATTGAGCCCCACTGTATGCCAGGCACCTCAAATACACAATCTCATTTACTGCCCCCCCCAACCCCAACCATGAGTAATAGCCAAATCAGAGCAGCTCAGAGAGGCTAAGTGCTTCCATGCTTCTGCACTTTGCATTACTGTTGCCCCTTCATGTCAAAGAAAGACTGAACTCGGGTAAGTAAGTGATTTATTGGCTTTAACTCTGCATTCAGTTCTGTGCTCCAAACCTATTTTGTTTGAAATACAGCTCTAATTTAGCTAGTTTGCATTAATGAATCTTCATGGCCAGTTTTCGAATACTCAACATTTTGATACCCTGCCCTTCAAAAAGAGAAACAACACTGATTCTCCTGAGGACGTACCTCACGAAAGCCAGGTGCTCAGCCTTTCCAGGTGGTGGGAGTGAATGAATGATTCATTAGGCAGCCTAGCATTTCCAGATCATCGGGCAGTTTATGTTTTTGCGAGCCATGTAACTACTCCTGTTATAGAGACAAGGCTCTATAAAGTAATTACTCTGTCATTGTTTCAGGTATATTAACTTAGCCCTCTGCAGAGCCTTTTACCGCTAACAGATTTTATGAAACTTAGAATGA